ATGTGAAAACACCCTGGACTTTATAAAGCAACCATTTGCTGTGTTCTGAGCCATTGGACCTACGGCTATGTGGCAGCTAGACGGTCAGGGTAGCGAAGGGATGGGGTGGGATGGGTTGGTGGAATTACGACCGGATAACGTAGTGTGCTTTGATAGAACATACCGGACATAGAAGCATTAGTTGAAGCGGTTATTTGAAGAAAGGAAGGGTTCGCCGCTAGCAGAGCTGCGAACCAATTCATGATGTGGTATCAATTTAAGGTAATGATTTGAATGTGAATACTCGAGTAAAGGATCGCTGGGAGTTATGAGGAAAAGAGCGATATCACTGTCTGTCTGATATGGGGTGTCGCGAATTAACACAGACATTAATTGCTTGAGTTTGGACCCAAATGAATGTTTACTGCTCAATTTTCAAATCAGAGATTGGGCTTTCGTATGAGCTTATACGTGGCACCATTGTATGAAAGCAAACAACACCCGGCTTCCAACACAGTTTGAAATAGCTCAACTTACGCGTGTTGACGCGTGTGCAAACTCTGCAAAATGAAACAACCTCCGTAAGAGTGAATGCAGTTCATCTGCATAGCTATCAAAAGCCAATGGAAAGCTTATCTTTCAAAATAATTTTACATTTTGTGATAACCGTACTCTTATGATATCTGGGCGTACATTTACATCCATTCGAAAGACTGACAGCGTGATGGACAGTAATAGTTCAGCGAACTATTCGCAATCAAACCAGGAAGACGGGAGGTTAGTTATTATTTCACGCTAGAAAATGCAGATTTCGCTAGGTTACTCTATCTATTATGATTCGACCACTACCGCGCAATATGAGCAGCTCATGCAATTAACTAATTCCATCCCGTCATGATGTGCGCCTGGCGAAGCCAGGCCAGCTCGGCGAAGCCGAGCTAAAAGAAGGAGGAGAGCTCGGCGTCAGCCGGGCGATCCGACTGGTAGTATGATAAAAGAGTATAGTGACCACGTCATGCACACGTGATGACGATATACCATTTTCACTTTAAATCGGACACTTTTCAAACCAAATCGGACACTTTTCAAACCAAATCGGACACTTTTCAAACCAAATCGGACACTTTTCAAATCAAATCGGACACTTTTCAAATCAAATCGGACACTTTTCAAACCAAATCGGACACTTTTCAAACCAAATCGGACACTTTTCAAATCAAATCGGACACACCCCTTACAATTAGGTGGTTGATAACTAGACCACACTAGGTACTGTTGCAAGCCCCGCCCCATTATCCCCGCCCACTTCTCAGCGCGGACAGGGTTTTCCGAGATGCTTCATGAAATCTGCTCCTTCGACTTTTTTCGTTTTTGCCCTTTGCACACACACTTCAACTGAAAAAGATTGATACCTATACAGATCTGACTCCGCCCACTTAACAATGAAGTTACGTAAGTTCTGAATTTTTATAACTTTTTTCGACGTAGTTCTTTTCACATCCAATCTTCACAAAACGAATAACCATGCACAGCACACCAGGCCCCGCCCCTCTGACCCCGCCCACTTGTGTTTATCGCGGAATTTTGGTTTTTCTTCCGGATTTTCGCTTTTTTAGGCTTTAGCGATTGGCTCCGCCCACCAATGGAAGCTCCGCCCACTTTTCGAAAATGATGCAAATCGGCGGGCTAGTGTCCGTACTGGCGATTACGGCCTCTCCCGGCACATAGAATAAAAAAAGGGAAAAACCGGAAAAAAGGGAATTTTTTCTTTGAGCGGACGGGAGAGGCCGTAATCGGGAGAGTACAGACCGGAGTTACAGCACACTAGCCCGCCGATTTGCATCATTTTCGAAAAGTGGGCGGGGCTTCTCCAAAGTGGGAGGAGCTTCCATTGGTGAGCGGAGCCAATCGCTAAAGCCTAAAGCGAAAATCCGGAAGAAAAACCAAAATTCCGCGATAAACACAAGTGGGCGGGGTCAGAGGGGCGGGGCCTGGTGTGCTGTGCATGGTTATTCGTTTTGTGAAGATTGGATGTGAAAAGAACTACGTCGAAAAAAGTTATAAAAATTCAGAACTTACGTAACTTCATTGTTAAGTGGGCGGAGTCAGATCTGTATAGGTATCAATCTTTTTCAGTTGAAGTGTGTGTGCAAAGGGCAAAAACGAAAAAAAGTCGAAGGAGCAGATTTCATGAAGCATCTCGGAAAACCCTGTCCGCGCTGAGAAGTGGGCGGGGATAATGGGGCGGGTTGCAACAGTACCTAGTGTGGTCTAGTTATCAACCACCTAATTGTAAGGGGTGTGTCCGATTTGATTTGAAAAGTGTCCGATTTGGTTTGAAAAGTGTCCGATTTGGTTTGAAAAGTGTCCGATTTGATTTGAAAAGTGTCCGATTTGGTTTGAAAAGTGTCCGATTTGGTTTGAAAAGTGTCCGATTTAAAGTGAAAATGGTATATACCAACATCCATGCAAACGAAATACGGAAGGAGCAAACACGGGGCTAAGAACTTATGCACCAACGTAATAGAAGAACACTAGCATATCAGAATTCTGCTATATTTTCTCTTTCTTATAGATTTCTTATAGACTTATTGTGGACGGCACCAGAAGTACTTCGGGAGGATTGTGATGGTTCTCGAGAAGCTGACATTTACAGGTAATGGCACATGTGTGCCGCTAGTTGATTGATTCTGTAAACTTGAAGAATGGTGTTATCGCTCAGTTTCACCCAATATTTCATTGAACACTGCTTTGAAGCTCCTTCTTTGATATCTGTTGGCAAGCCGTCGGCATTCCAAAGCTGCTCCTCTGATCGAAGTGGCTATTTGTAAAGGTCCCGAGATACAACAACTGACAGTGCTCTCAAAATTGCAAGCAAAACTTGCGACTTTGCAAGCGAAGTTACGAAGATTTCGGCATTGGCTTG